AGGGTTATGAGCGGTTTGATAGTCTGTTGAAGATCTATCAGGAATGACGATAAGATAGTGTTGATGTCGGATGGTGTTTGGCTGGGAAGTGGGTTTGGATCAGGAGGTTGTGATGAGTAGGTTATGCGATTAGGAATGTTGGGTGGGGGCTGGGCCCGTCGTGGGGTACGAGGAGGATCTAAATTCTGTTGGACTTGTGGAGGGGGGTTCATCCTGGGATTAGGAACGAATGGAGCTGGATGTGGATGCTCTGGCGGGAGTTTGACTCTTAAGGGTAAATGATGAGGAGGGATTTGCTGGCGAGGTTGAGGCTGAGGATTAGGGATTTTGGGCTTGGATTGGAAGGCCTGAGGCGCCTGACGTTGAGGCTGCTTCTTACTGATGGAAGACTGGGAGTGAGAATTTCTGAGATTCTGGTGAGGCGAGTCCTTAGCTGTAGAGATGGATGGTTGTTGTTGGATGACGAGGGAAGGTGAAGTCGGCAATGCTGGGAAAATTTCCTGATTTTCGATTTCAGGTGCCTCAGTGTAAGTTTTCTGAGCAGATCCAAGATTTTTCACCGCTGAGTTTCGTGATCTTTGTTTGTAAAGATTTTTATACACTTCACATCCTCTGTAGCTCGCAGGATGGGCTTCGCCACAAAGAGCACACGTCGCAGGCTCATCTCTTGGCTTCTGGCAAGTGTCTGAAGCGTGTAGGCCGGCACATTTAACGCATCTGACTTCGTGATAACAATAGGCCTTTGTATGGCCCAAGTTTTGACACTTAGTGCATTGTACAATTAGAGGCTTCTGTCTCGGTTCCTCAAACCGGACTATTGAGTAATCCAATCGTTGAACCTGGAATATTTCAATATTGGTTTTTGCTGGTTCTAAGTCTATAAAAAATAATGGGAGCGGATATCTTTCTCTAGGATGTAGTACAGGTGCTATGTGCCTGACGTTATGACCGATTTCTTCGAGGCCCGATTTGATAGCAGATATGGGTGTGGTTGAATGCAGTCCTCTCAGGACCACTCGATACGCCTTTTCTTGTTTTAATTGGTAACAGTGGAAGTCGTAGTTATTGGATGTTAAAAAATTGATCAGTTTTTTATAATTGTCTCTAGAATTAGTATTGATTTTGATGTCGTTCACTCTCGAGTAACATCGAAAATTTGGCTGTCCGATCAAATCTGCAATTTGTTGACCAAACGACATAAAGTTCTTAATTTTTGAAACAAATATTGGCGGCGGCTCAGGATCAGAAAAATCTTGAAGCTGCGGAGTCTTGTGAGATAAGTTTTTTTCTTGAATTGAGTTTTTGCTTTCTGATGTTTTTGGTGCAGTTGGCTCTGATTGAGTGGCATTAGATTTGCTCCTAGTTCTCGGTGGAGATTTATCTTGTTCTGGTTGCTTATTTGATTTATTTTTCTTTTTTTTTTTATTAGGTGAGTTTTGTCCCGATCCGGGAACTGAGTTTCGGAGACGCTTTTGGAGTGTACGCCTTTTCAAATATTGCGAGTCGGTCTCGCTAATTTCCGAAAAGGGTGTCTCATCTTCCGTGTCTTCACATGATGTGTTCTTATCCAGATCCATCATGATAAGTGTTAGAGAGAAAAAAAAAAAATAAAAAAAAAAATATGTATATATATAAACCTAAATATTAAAATTAAAATTTATGAGATAACTTCTTAAAAACTAAGCTATTTACAAAATTATTCACATAAATATATACAGATATAAAATAAAATATAAAATAATTCATTTCCAAAAAATAAATAATCAAAGAAAAAAAATTAAATAAAAGAGTCTCTGGAAAGAAAAAAAAAAAAAGAAAATATAAAGAAAAAAAAAATGAAGTTAAATGTCTTGGATTCGAACTGAGAATAACACTGAAGAATGTTATTGTACACAGTGCCGAGCCTTGGCTTGAACTTATCGGAGATAAGGTAAAACCCGCAAGGGAATTACTAGCCACATGGGCTAACCAAACGAGCACTAATTTATAACTGTTTCATTGTTAATAAATAGTCACTCACCTGATCATATGTGAATATAAAAATGTAAAACAATTAATATAGTCACTGTTGAAAAAGTCTTAGAGCAGTATTTTAAATAATAAGCACATTAAATCGTATCAAGGATAGAGCGACGTGTAAGTTTAATTGCACTAGCGGCCATGACACTTGCTTAATCAATTATTTGGGATATTAACTTGAACATTGAGTTTCTTACAGAGCTATGGGATAATACATATCGTAATTAACTTTTTTTTTCATCCTGACCAATCTCTGAAAAATAAAATGCCCATGTCTTGGAAATAAGTAGTTGTTTTTAATTACAAATATTAACTATTAAATCGTGGTACAGACCTCTTTGTATAGAATTATTAACATCCGCCTAAAACTTCGTTGGGTACAGAAAAAAGATACAATAAAAAGAAAAAAGAAAAGAAAAATTTTAAGAGAAATATAAACAATAAAGAAGTTTAATAGCAGTCATATATATTTATTACGCCAGTAAGATAATATACATTAATAAGTGTTAATATAGTAGTCCATGGTACAGACCTCTTTTTAACAATTTATTAATATCCGGCTGAAATTTCTTAAATAATTTCATCTCATCGTAACCTACCACTATTTTATTTACTAAAAGTCCTGGAATTGGGGCGTTTTCAATCTGGAGGGGGGCAAACTTGTCCATTTAATTAGGTATTTAAAACTCGTAAATACATATTTGCTTTCTACTTGGATCGTAAGATAATTTGATCACAAAATCAAGAATAAAGGTGGCCTTCATATCAAAAATATCAAGCCGTTTGTCCTTTTTAACCTTGTCTTTTTGAAAATTTCGGAATGTACGTCACGCCAAACGGCTCAATATTTTCTAAGACCACCTTTTTTATCGATTGTGTGGATCAAATTATGTTACGATCCAAGTAGAAAGCAAATGTTTATTTAGTATGTGTATGTCTATTTTAGTACCTAATTAAATAGACAAAGTTTGCCCCTCTCCAGATTGAAAACGCTCAATTTCCAAGAGTTTTCGTAAATAAAATAGTTGTAGGCTACGATGAGATGAAACTATTTACGAAGTTTCAGGCGGATGTTAATAATTCGATAAAAAGGGGTCTGCACCACGGACTATATCTGTCATTTTTCTATAAAATAGATAATAGTTATCTCCTTAATTATTCGAAATCAGCACCATTATTCAAATACGCATTTAGATTATTACAAATTGTTTAAAGATAGCCCTAGCTATGAAAAAAAATTGAAAATTATTCGGATTAAGTTTTTCTTATTAAAAAGAAAGAGAAATTCAGAAAAAACGGTATCTAATGAAATCTGTTAGGGCGCCATTTGTAAATGAAAAGTATGAAAATGTAGCCTTCCGAGGTTCATACTGGGTAGTGTTGCCCAAAATCGGACTTGGTCCTTGCACTTTGGAAGACCAAGACCAACACAGCCTAACTGTTGCAAGACCAAGACCAAGGCTGGTAAACAAAAAATCGATTTTTAAGAATTATTATTTAGAAAAAAATAGTATTTGACTATTTTAGTTACTATGTCTATAGAATTGGTATAACCAATATCTTTTGTATTTAACTCTTTCAATTTTCCATTTAGGCTTAATTAAGTTTCTCCTATCCAAAAAATTACAGTAATATCTCTATAGTAATAAGCTAATACGTAACTGCAAGACTGTTGCGAGACTCTTGCGCAAGACTCGTCTCGGCCTCTGGATGGCATTTGGACAACACTAATACTATGGCGTCCTTTGACATTGGCGACAGATCTTTAAAAGAAATTAATTGTGAGTTATGTCTAATGTAATTATTTGACAAATATGTAAGTTCATCAAGCTTCCTTAAAATGCAGGTAAAGAACAAAATAACTCGTTAATGTTTCGCCAATTCAGGCATCATGGGGACAGAAAAGAATACTCCAACCCAGGATCACATGTAACCTGATATAGCTAAATTTCTCTACATGTTCACACATCTTTATACCTAACATATAAAAAAGTTTATTCCTTCTACATCATCGAAATTGTCGCCGTTTTGGGAGTTGAGTGAACTCATATCAATGACGGACATCTGTCATTTTCATAAAGCACATGTAAGATCAATTTTTGGATTATAGGTTGTATTCAAACTGTTTCTGATCATTTTATTAAAGAATGTTCAAGTTGAATCATGAAACAAAATAATTAGAATCGTTCAAAATTGAAGCTATGTTAGAAAAATTGTTTTTTTTTTTCTCGACTTTTTTAGATGGCAGGTGTCCATCTTTGATATGAAGCTACTTACTTGATTATATTTTGTCCATATTTGCTTCGAGCTCCAGTTCTATAATTGCTTTCGTCAACGTATTTATTTTTATAGTTTCCGTGTCAGCAGTACCAAACCATCAGGATACCCAAGATATTGTTCCACCAAACTTGAAACCTATTTCGATATGTATCACCTCTCTAATATTCTCTTGCAATGCCAAATTTAATAGGACATATAAAATGTTCAAATAAACCTAACTATGTTTAATGTTGATGCATGAGCTGTTTCTAGTACATTATAAGTAATGGCCAAGTATGTGTTGTAGCGTATAATTGGTGTCTCAGATCAGGAATCGGAATATATTTGTCAAGATAGTGGGGAGTCCTAGATTTTGAATCTATTCAATAGAGATTAGAGAAATATTAATAATGGCGGCTGTAGGATGAAAATATGGAGGATACCAGATTCGTTATTTATATTCTATTCAATAATTGTTATAACAAACATTGGCTCTTAGTTTGACAACACACTCATGCCTGCCTAGTGTCTGTTTGTATTATATAATATATTTGATAAACTGTATGAATATATAAATAATTTCTTGATAAATAAATGGTTTAATATGTACACTAAATATTTAATATTATAAATATAGCTAATTTAGTCATATATGTTGTTTATGTTTTAGGTTATCTCCGCTTATTGCCGAGGACGTAAAAATGCCAAGCCTCTCTCACAAGTGATTATGGATATGTACAATAGAGCTGCGTCTCAGGTTAGTGTATTTATCCTGTAACAGGGAATATATCAATAAATAAATAATAATTGTATATACGCTTCATAATAATATTATATGATCCTATCTGAGGTGAAGTTATAAGTAAATTCGTATAAATTATGCAGTAAATTCTTTTTAAAAAATATAAGTTTAGAATGTGAAAGGAGATTTTATATATGACTGTGGTAGGTATTAAGGTTAAATTAATAAATACTAGTTAAAAAGGGATTTGTATGAATGAAAACGGAATGCATATAAATAAATCTAAATACAAATCTAAATTAAATAACAAAATGTGAATGAGAGATACAACAGAAAAGATTAAATAGCACATGAAGTACACAAGGTTTAGACTAAGCAAAAAAATGGCAGGTCAGGTCGTAAACAGTCAATGGCAAAAAAATTGTGCTAGGTCATCTGACGGAGTGCAACTTTTGTTAGTGACAGGTTCGTGAAGAAAGTGTCAAGTAGTTTCGTGCACTCACTAAAAAATAATCTGGAATCTCCTCTTTACTACAACTTGAAGGTTCCGAAAATCACAGACATCATATTTTTCATTGGAAATTATACAACATTAGACGCCTAAAAAAGCATTTAGCGGAATATGTCAATAATATTTTCCTTTACCATAATGATAGAATTAATAATAAAATAAATAGAATGTACAAACCAGGAATCAGAAAACTATATTATTTAATTAACATAAAAAAAATTGTTATTCAATCTGCAATAATATAAATAAAATTTACATTTATGATGGAAAGGAAATGCCTTGTTCCTTTTTACCTACAAATGTAATTTAATTTAAAAAAATAGATTTTTTATGTTTTGCTTGTTTGAAGTTTGTATTTTTTTTTAAATCATAGTTCCTTAGTGAAAACTGCCAATATAGGTGCATATTTGATCAGATATGGTGTCAACTACTGGTGTGTTTTCTTGTCTACTACTGGTACACTAATGTCTACTATAGGTGAAAAAAAACATGTTCTCGAAATTTATCTTAAAAAAAGAACCTAAATATCAATGTTTAAGTTATCTTAGAAGGAATTTAGGTCACATAAGAGTGTTGCTGGACAAATAAAGCAAAAAAGGAAAGCTTGAAAAGAATCTAACGATTTACATTTAAAATTATTGGAAGTCTCACAATAGTGTCTACTACTGGTGACTTTACCCTAATAGTAATATTAACGTAGTCACTAATCCGAACCCGACAGAGCACTTAGCGATGGACGTGCTCAGACCCAAAGGAGCTTAATTGAGCATTAAGAATTATTAATACTTTTTTAAATGATAAAATTAAATAATAATGAATTTGTGTGAAACGGTAGGGAGACTGGAAAATTGTCAAGACCGAAGTTGGTAGAGAATAACTAACTAAAAATAAGAGAGGAAAGTGGCGATTACTTGTTTGTTTTTTAATAAATTATCAGTTCTGCCTATTCTTATTTTCTTCTTAATCTCAGCCTCCTCCATTTTTAACAACATTGCTTTTAGTCCACTTGTTGAGAATGTTTAAGCAGCTTTAAAAAAATATTAAATGTATAAATATTTTGCCGCCTGAACCAGTCTCCTTCAACTCCAGTATTTCTAATTAGTGGTATTTCTTTCTACATAGCCATGTAGCTCTACTTATTGATTTCATATATATAAGTTATTATTATTATTTTAGGATAGATTACTCTTTAAAGAAAATGTATTCCCATTTTCTTTAATTTGATCTACACCATGTATAGAACGGTAGTATAGATCTCTTTCTTGGAATCATCCGGCTCTCAGAAGTAATATATTTTGTTGAATGAGGTATCAAATGAAAGAGAATTTCACGGAGAAGTGAATAATAATTTTCAATTATAAAATTCCTTCTTCAATTTTAATAAAAGTGATTGAAAAATTTGAGAGGTTTTAAAACTTTTTTTTTACTATATATTTGTAAGCAACTACTACTAAGTACTATATTTATAAGATAAAATATTGATACATTGCAGTACTTTAAATAATTAGAAAATAAAATAAATAAATCTATATAACAAATTATAATAGTAAAAGAAAAATAATTAAATATAATACACACATAACTGAAATGATAAACAATAGTGATAACTTAGGGATTAGATAATGATAATTAGAATATTTACAACAGAAATGTGATATGGAAGAACATGAGCAATGGGTAAAGATTTAGGATAACAATTACGGGTTTGAAGCTGGATATATTTACAATGGATTTTGTAAAACAGTTGATGTAGGAAGTGTTATTGAGGGATGTTAGGCACCTATTTAATTATTAATTTCGGAGAAATCAAAGGAAGCGGGGTTTAGAAAGAAGAGAGTTAGAGTGCTACAGAAGTTTATTATGGAAGGGCAGGTATCTGGATTGAGCTAAATCGGAAACATGCGATACATAAAGGTCGTTATGGATGATTTTATTGTTGACAAATTACGGAGGTTTAAAAACCTCAGATGTTTTAAAACTTATCGAATCGAAACAGAATAAATTGTTTTAAACATTTCAAACCGTTCATCGAAACTCAGTGAAGTAGCAAATATGGCCGAATGCCTTTAGGTTGTATGGTTGCCTCGAGGTACTTATTACGTGCTTAGGTTTTAAAAATGTTTATTATGCCAATCTCCGATGAGCTAAAAATCTATTGAAAAGGTAAATAGAGCAGAATAAGTCTATGGACCCTCTTTCACTTTGGATGACATCAACTTTTTCATTTAATTAATAAATATAAAAAATCTATTCAGGTATGGCTTCTCCATTCTTTGTAATAGACTTTTATACTCTTAGTAAGAAAACTACATTTCTAGGCCCTAATACATCAAGAAAAGGTCTTTAGCAAGTTCAATAATATATTCATATGAGTTCAGGAATAGCTATGCCTTATTACTTAACTACTAAACTGAAGTGATATTTCCCGATGGCCAAGCTAATTGCTTCAGTAAATTGCTTGTTTAAGTTTTTTAGGTTAAATATACTATCTTAATAATATTATATTATATATACGAATAAACATGTTTCTCTGATTCCACTTATACGTCGAATGCATTATGGAAAGAGATAGCTATCTGATGTGTGACTACTTGAGGACACTGTTACAACATATATCCACTAAAGCATTTATAGCCTACGTTTTGAGTTTTTATCGCTATATTAAATGGAAAGGGATGTATGATCGCTCTTAAGTGTACGTGTTCAAAAACTGGAAAGGCAATTATCGACAATGAAGCAGAACGTTGTAAAGCTATTGTACCGTGAGTACCTGTGCTATTCAGGTACAGCAATGGCCCTCTGTGTGGGGGAGAATGTTTGTCAGGGTACGCCGCCGCCTTACCTGGCAGGTACCTTACGATTGCGAAGGGAAGTGTGCTTGTGAAGTATTGTATTTGGGGTTCAAAGTAACAAATATAATATTATTATTGGTCATTTTTTATTATATTCACGGGGTTATAATGAAAAATTATAGTTGCATATTTTTATGATAGAGTAATTAACAATACCAAAAATAATGTTTGTTCCAAGATCCATGTTAAATCCATAATCTGACTATAATCACTATTAGATCGCAATAATAATAGTGATATATATATATATATATATATATATATATATATATATATATATATATATATATATATATATTTCTATATATGAAATAATTTCATACGTCAATTTATTAAACTCCGGAGCAATGGACATGGAAAGTTACAAAACACATGAAAAATAAAAAAGACATATACACATATATATATAAGGAAATAACTACCAACTGAATTGTTACATTTCATATCAGAAATAAATACATATAGAAAGTTAACAGTCTATAAATATGTGAAGAAAATTGAGAAATAATAACACCTAGATTATCAACCCCTAAAGCCTATGAGATCGTTGACTAAAACGAGCTGAATACCATCAAAGGTTTCAATCTATGAGTTTAGGAACGGTTTGATGGATTTCTGACGCCATTGATGGGATTACCGCTGAATTTAAGAACTTGCCCTCACTGACAACTTTCTTCGTTTGGGTATTTATATTTAATCCAGGAGATCCAACATCCAGCTTCTTCTGAACTTCGTAAGGGTGTTATCGGCATGTTTGTTGTGGTCATACCTTGAATGAGTGTGTTAATATATATGTTTAAGCTATCGCGAAATCTTGTAGTTTCTTCTTATGTAGTCGTTTACTGGCATGCGAAGGTCCTAATGTAAAGTAATGCTGATTATGTACCAAGAAACTTTAGTTATAGTTCTGAAAATTTCGACTGAAAATTATAGAGTTGAGTTTTGTGGGTCTTTTTGGCTGTCAAATATATCATTAAAATTTAGGTCAAAATAAAATGTTCAATTTCTGTTTTAGTTTTAATTTTAAAAGTCTTGGAAGAATGTAATATGAGACTTTCAATTGACAGAATGACTACCTCCAATTTAAACATTTTTTATTATTAATTTTATTGATATTTCTAGTAGGAAAATTTAAACCTTTATTCGCAGTTCTTATATTTCAACACTGCACTCACCTACTCTGGAAATCAACTTACTCGCTGTCTGTGTAGATATTATAAATTTTCCAACTAGAAATGTCACTTAAATGACTTTACTCAAAAATGTTGAGTTGCAGTTAGTCAACTGAAAGGCTCATATAATAGTTGCAATCTGAGATTTGTCAGTTTTCTTTTGTTATTTAAATGTGTGCTCTACGTCGTACTTTAGTATAATGCCAGTCCAATATATTACACTTTATCCCTTTAAGTAACTTAGGAATTGCCAAAGCAAATAGGAGCATAGTTTTCATATTGAAGTGTTTATTTTAATTTAAAAAATTGCTATATTTTCCATGTTTTTAAATATTTCAATATTCTCAATTTTACTGGTTTTGATAAACACTGAGAAAAACAATATAAATTTTGATGGATTGCATGCTGTCCAAAAAATATTAGTTTGATGAAGGTATTCGTCGATGGCTTATTGACGTCATGAGCCTATATGATATGGGT